AATGCAATATGTCTCCTTATCTCCTGACTATTGGTTCCAAGGGTGTTGATTGTGGATCCAAGTAAGATGAAATTGTTAAAATTTTAATCCTTTCTTCATCTATCATGGTGTTGCTTATCGGTTCAGTGGTGAGGATTTTTGTCTTCTTGATGTTAACTATATTAATGTAATCCATATTGAAGGCTGTAGTCTTTGATCTTCAGCAGCAAGTATTTCAAGTCCTCCTCACTTTTAGCAAGCACGGTTGTGTCATCTGCATAATCCAGATTTTTTGATGAATCTTCCTCTGATGCCACATCTTCTTTGTAGAGTACAGCTTCTTGAATGATTTGCTCAGTGTTCAGATTTAATAAAGTATAGAAACCTGACATATACCTTTCCTGATTTTAGTTGCTTGGTCTAGATATAGGGTTCAGATGAGCACAATTAAGTGTTCTCAGATACCTTTTCTTCTCAAAAGTAGCCATAGTTTGTTATGATCCACACAGGCAAATGCTTTCGCATAGTCAATAAAACACAAATAGACATTCTTCTGGTATTCTTTACTTTCAGCCATGATCCATCTGACATCAGCAATGATATCCCTGGTGCCATGGCCCCTTCTAAACCTCGCTTGAACCTCTCTGGTAGTTCTTAGTCTATGCACTGTTCTGGTTTAAATAATCTTGAGTAGTATTTTGCTTGCATTTGCTATTAATGATATTGTTCTATAATTTCTATATTCTGTTGGATCACTTTTCTTGGAAATGTGAACAAAAATGGACCTCTTCCAGTCAGTCAGCCAAGCAGCTGCCCTCTAAATTGCCTGGCTTAGAATGGTGAACAAACACATCCAGGGTTGCATCTGTTAGCTGAAATATGCCAATTGGTACTCCATCAGTTCCTGGGGTTTTAAGTTTTGCCAATGCCTTCCGTACAGCTTGAACGTCTTCTTTCATTAACATTGGCTCCTGTTCATATGGTACTTTCTGAAATTTTTCAGTGCCAACCAATTCTTTTTGGTACAATGACTCTGTGTCTTCTTTTCATTATTTTAAAAAACTATTCCTGGATCATTCAAGATTCTGCCCAGCATATCTTCATTATTATAACTCAAAGCTTGGATTTGGTTTTCAGTTCTTTCAGCTTTAGAAATACTGAGCAATTTCTTCCCCTTTCCCCCTCAACTCCAGCTCTTTGCACATTCCATTGCAATATTTTGCTTTATCTTCCTGAGCTGCCCTTTGAAGTCTTCTGTTCTTCCCTTCAATCAAGGGCATGCAATTTGACTCCACCAGTTGCTTTTCAGGAGAAAGATGGATAATCCCCTTCTAGGTATTTTATAGCCTCTAAATACTTGCTTAGGGCTCAGTTATGGGTCAGTTTTGACTTGATGGCATATAACACAACAATAGCATACAAGATAATGGGGTGGTTATTTTGTTCGGGTTTTTTTTTTCTCACAGTAGGTGTCGAGTTCTATAATTTCCTAAGTATATTGTAGATAGCTACTTTGAAGTTGGCTTTTGGTGACCCAAATATGCAATAGACTGAGGCAGAGGTGGTTCCTGTGGACTTAGTATAACCCTCTCAACCTACTGTTGTCAAGTAGACAACAATGTTTAATACTTTTTAAAACAAACTAGAACAGTCCACAGCAGTTCCATGGCTATAAATCTTTATGGACACTGCTTGTCTTCCTCACATGAAGCGGCTACTAGGTTTGAAACACTAACATTTTTGGTAAGCAACCCAGTGCTCATCCTTGTTGAGCCAACAGGCTCTTTGAAATTGGCATGGTAGGTGAGAATCTTACCACTGAGCTACCTCCATAGGTGACATAGGGGAATGAAAAGTATTTAATCTCTGTTCTGCCACTGCTTAAGTGTGTGACTGCCATAATCTCCCTGGAAAAAAGTAAAAGATTGTAAATATTAAATGTAACAATATATGTAAAGTGTCACACATTTAATGTGATTTAGTAATTTTATTTCTCTCCTCCTCTTCCTCTTCCTTTCTTCTTCTTCCTCCATCTACTTTTTCTGTTTCTAGTCAGTCAAAAATTCACCAGGCAAGACACTCTATGCTTCTCAGAGCATTCAGGCAAGAAGGAAAGCAATCAGGAGAGACCAAAAAGACTTCTGGGATTACTCAGAATTTTGCCCAAACTTGTTAACAGAGTTTTATTTTATATATCTACTTCAGTTAGGATCTGGTGTCAAAGAAGTTTATGGTGTTCAGTATGTGGAAAGACTCTGAAGTGGAGGCTCACGGGAAAGTAAAGCAGGCTCTGTGCAGGGTGATGGCTTGTGGGATTAAATGCAGGATGCTGCACAGATAAGTTTCTTGTTGAGGAATGAGGTAAGGCATGATCAGCTAAGCCGGACTGTTGGTAAGAAGCTTTCAGTAATTGATGTCTTATTAAAAAGAATTGAGTTTTCTAAGCTGCATATTTAGAACTAGGTGCCCTGGTGATATACTGGTTAAAACATTTGTTGTCTAACTTTAAAGTTGATGGTTTGGACACACTAGCCACTCCTCAGAAGACAGATGAGACAATATGTGTCCATAGAGATTTAGAGCCATGGAAACACAGTGGATAGTTCTACTCTGTCTCTGTGAGTCAGCACTGACTTGACAGCAATGAAATTTTTTTACATTTAAAGATGATTCACTACTTTTTTTTTAAATTGAGTGTTCATTATCTAAATTCAAAATCTCTTTATATCTCTGAGATGACAACTCAGGGATCTCCACATGTAATATTTTTAATTCTAAGCAAGGAGACAGAGCATGTTTCAGGAAGGGTGTACACCAGGGTTGTTTTCTGTCTCCATATCTTTTCAATCTATATGCAGAACAGATCATCCGGGAGACTGGGCTGTATGAGGAGGAATGTAGCATCAGGATTGGAGGGAGATTCATCAACCTGCATCATGCAGATGGCATAGCCCTGCTTGCCGAAACTGAGGAGGACTTGAAGCGCTTGCCGCAGAAGGCCAAGGACTGCAGCCTTCAATAAGGATTGAAGCTCAACATCAAGAAAACAAAGATTCTCATCACTGGGCCAATTAGCAGCATCTTTATGGATGGTGAAGAGATTGAGATTGTTAACAGTTTTAGTTTGCTTGGCTCCATAATCAACACTCTTGGTACCAGCAGCCAGGAAATCAAGAGACGAATTACATTGGGAAAGTCATCTATCAGGGACCTTTCCAGAGTACTGAAGAACAACGACATCAGTCTGGAGACCAAGGTGAGCCTGATCCAGACCATAGTCTTTGCAATTGCTTGCTATACATCAGAGAATTGGACAATGACTAGGGATGATAGAAAGAGAATTGATGCTTTTGAGCTGTGGTGCTAGAGAAGAGAATTGCATACACATTGGACTGCTAGGTTTATCCTGGAGAAGGTGAAATCATGCTGCTTCTTGGAGGTAAGGATTCTGAAGCTCCGTCTGACATACTTTGAACATGTTACAAGAAGAGATTGGTTCTTGGAGAGGGACATCATGCTTGGGAGGGTGAAGGGACAGCATATGACAGGAAGACCCTCGATGAGATAGATTGATTCAATCACTGGGATAATGGGGCTAGGTGTGTCAGAGAAAATAATGTTGGCACAGGACAGAGCAGGGTTTAGGGCTCTTTTACATAGGGTCACTATGAGTTGCAAGCGACTCAAAGGCACATAACAACAAAATGTTCTTTAAAGTTTTTTAAATTTAAAAATATTAATAAAGGATGATTTCATGCAATCTAAATAGTAAAGTTTGAGAAGTGGAGATGAGTTGTAAATGAAGCTTTTTTTCTACACTGTCAACTTTATAACTAATTATACTTGTTTGTAGCTAATTATGTGTGACTATGGACAAAAATGTGACCTAACATAGCTTCTAAATGCCGTTTATCTTCCAGGTCTTTCCTATAGTTCTCATTAAAGAGAAGTTCTGAAAAAAACTCATGATTCACAGATGGGCTGTTGTTGTGTACCATCGGGTCGGAACTGGCCCATAGTTGACCCTCAGGCTGGGTTTCAGAGGCAGTTAATCACACCGGAAAGAGATCGCCCATCTTTCTCCTGTGGAACAGCTGGTGGATTCAAACTGCATGCCTTTGAGATCACAGTGTAGCTTCTTGCCACTAAGCCACCAAAGCTCCCTCAAGGATGGCTAGGCTCTAAGTTATCAGGAGATTTTGAAATAACATTTTATTATACCATTTCTCCCCTTCATGTGTTAGTAAAAAACTTTTATCCTTTCTCATATGGTTCTTCCATATTTTGAGATAAAACTAGCGAGCCTACTTTATATTTCAATTTTCCAATATTCTTTCAGACTTTATTTTTTTTTTAATTTTTTTTCAGACTTTATTTTAAGATAAGAAAATTTTAAAAATCACTTGTACCAGGAGTTGCCTGATTCTGCACTGACTGTGCATATTGAAGTGGGAAAGGCACATCTAAATGAAGTCAGCACTGGTGGCCGAATAATCAGTGATTAGAAGAGGAAATAGGTTACCAGGATCTTCCTATCCTGTTAACTTCCAGAACACCATGATTGTGACTGAAGTTGCAGGGGAGCAAAAAATACACAGAAGGTGCAGTGTAAATTCACTTGTCCTGGAGTAAGAGTGGGGCCAGGGCTTTTACAAAGAAGAAAGGTTTGTGATTACACACCATGTACCAGCTTAACACACGTTTTAGAATCTTCACAATGCTATGGTGACATTGTGGTTGATACTGCTACTACCGTTTTGTAGATGAAGAAATAGGCTTGAAGAGATATGAATAAGTGACTACTAGACACTTAAAGAGATCTCATGTTGCGATGTTTAGGTGGCCTCTCTAGTAAAATTTGTTACCTCCTCGTGTGTTTTCTTAGCTTATTGGCCTTTATGAGATCTCTCAATAGAAGATCTAATTGTGTCCCTAAACATGAGAATAGCTCTTATATATGCAACGTTGAACAAAGCCAAACAAGGCAAAGGCAGTGTGAAGTATTTCAGCATGTGCCATACCTGAGGATACTTTGTTCTAGAACCTGGATCTGGTGCTGGTCTTGTTGGTTCTGCTTCTTCATCTCCTCCTGTTCCTTCCCATTGCTGATTCCATCCAGAAGCCATTTCTCCCTCAAGGTCTTTTTCTGATTAGGAAATATAAAGATATGTGTTAATATCAGCCACGGGTTGCAAGTTCTGCTTTTGATATATTCTTTCTTTCCACCCTTCATGAACTTTTTTTGATGCCACGTTTTGTATTTAAATTCTTTGTCTGGTTTGAAATAAGAATAAATAAGATTTTTTTTTAGTAATTTACATCTATTATTGAGCCTTCAAAATCTACTTCAGACTCCTCTTCTCTTTGAAGACCCTCCACTCACTCATCTTCACCCTCAGAGTGCTTTCTTATTTCAGAATCATGCACTACTGAGTGCTTTGAGGGACCATAATGGGACCTCATCATGTGATGTCCCTGGTATTGGCTTGGTTGATGTCTAACTTATGTGCTCAGCACAATAAAAATCTCCTTGAAGCCATCCTAATATACACTCCAGTGACAGCAAAGGCTGCTCCACAATATCATGTGGAGGGTAGGTTGGAATGGCTGTTAAAAGAAGAGGTTCCAGAGGAACCAAGATGGCGGCAGTGGAGCAAACGGCGTAAGGAGCTGGAGGAGTGGCAAGGTGCATAGAATCAGGCCACCGTGGCCCTCCACAGCCCTCAGTTCATCTATAATTGAATAATTAAGCAGTTGACTACTGGTCTTCAATATGGATCAAGGCTCAACATCGAGAGAACAAAGATTCCCAAAAAGGAATGGGTGAGTTCCATAGTGTCCAGTCCCCCACTGCTGAGCCCATGCTGCTGCCACAGCTCCATGGGGCCTCCATAGCTGGACCCCAGGGATCCCCTCACCTGGGATGGACAACGGGTGCCAGGCCCCACAGCAGGTATGACAGAGCCTCCACACAACTGCAGAATAAACTGATTCTAAAATAAATTCTCGGAACCAAGATGGTGGGGGAGAGAGACATAGCATAATGAGCAGGAGGCCTAGCCAGCCACATGGAAACAGGCCATACAACTTATATATACCTAAACAGCAAAGCAGCTGACTGCCAGTCATAAATATCGATTGAGGCTCAACAACAAGAGGATAAAGATTCTCAAAAGAACATGGTTTGTTCCCTTTCCTATAGGTAACCTTAACACTGAGTTAACTCCAGACCTGAACCCTAAAGCCAGTTCCAGAGACAAAAGGGAAATATAATTTGCCAGCTAAGGAAGCAAAGGAGGATGGAGCCTCAGGGTTCAGCCACCCATCCCCCACTGGACCCACCTTGGCAAATACTTGGCAGTCCAGAGAGCAGAAAACATCAGGAAAATATCTTCTAACAGAGCAAGAAGGCATGCAGCGTCAACCCAGGACCACCAGTAGGGTGTTAAAGTGGGGTCCCTTTCCCCTTTCACATCAATTCCCCTGTTCAGCATGAGGAAGCCAGAGAGTCTGCATCCCATTCCCCAATGAGAAACCCACAAGTGAATAAGACAATTTCTTTGTTTAAAAAAAAGAAATTAATCACCATTAGACTATGCTTACTATTACCCTGTCTCTTCTTTGGAGGGGGAGGGGCAGGGAGGAAAATGTGCAAAAATGAATTCATGGAAAGGTTCTTGATAAACTTACAATAACATTTCAATTAAAAAAAAAGAAGAAGAGGTTCCCATTATATCAGACATGAATTCAAAATTTTTCTTCTGGGAGCATTTCTTCTGGTCTTAGTCTTTCAAGCTCAGTTGCCTACCAGTTCCAATTAATTTGTCTTCACAATTAACTAGTTTGTCTAACCACAGCTAATTTTAAGTGTAGCCCTTCCCTCAAAGGCTTAGGTTTCATCTCATTGAAAAAAAGGAAATTCTTTTGCCTGAACCTAAGAAGATGTAAATGGGAAACAGAGGAAGTGGGAAAAGTGTTGTAACATTTTAGGGGCTGCAAACAATGTCACAAAACAAAATGCATATGAATTATAGAATGCAAAATAATTTGCTCATTTCTAAACTTTCATCCAAACCACTATAAAATCTTTTTTAAAAAGATTTTAAGCAAATGAAAGTAAGAAACACACATTCACACACACACAACAATCACAGTAATTTTCAGTCATTCTGACTCAGGGTGACCTCATGTGTCTCACAGAAGAACTGTGTTTACATAGGGTTTTCCAGGGTTGATTTGTCAGGAGTAGATGACTTTTTCTGAGGTGTCTACAATTTTTTTTTTACTTCTTCATTCATCAGCAAATACTTATTCACCAACTTAAATATATGCAATATGAAGAAACATATTCAAGCCACAAGGTACAGAAAAGAAGTAAAACAATAAAAACACTTTACAAAAGGTTCAGTGGGACTTTGAAAAGATGAGGTGATAACAAGCATAGAGTAATGGTAATTAATTATATAAAATATAATATATATGAATGATTGCATAAAATACAAAATACAAGTATGAACCACAATGTATATGAATGCAAACCAATAAAAATTTCAAAAACAGTATATGAAAAGATTCACCTGTCATATTTACTTCAAATCCAGAGTAAGAAAAGATGATTTTTACGATGTCAGGCTGGAGACTAAGTTGTGCCTGATCTGGGCTATAGTCTTCGCAATTATGTGCTATGCATCAGAGAGTTGGACAGTGAATAGGGTTGCTAGAGGAGTGATGCCTTTGAGCTGTGGTGCTGGAGAAGAGTGTTAAATATACCATGAACTGCTAGGAGAACAAACAGGTTTGTCCTGGAAAGGGTGAAGCCAGAGCGTTCCCTGCAGTCAAGGATTCTGAGGCTTCATCTGACATACTTTGGGCATGTTGCAAGGAGGGACTGGTCCTTGGAGAGGGACATCATGTTTAGCAGAGTGGAGGGGCGGCAAAGGAGAGGAAGACCTTTGATGAGATGGATCGATTCTGTGACTGGAGCGGTGGGAATAAGTGCGTTTGAGATGGCTAGGTTGGCACAGGATAGAACAGCATTTAGAGCTCTTGTACATAGGGTTACTATGAGTCGCAAGCGACTCAATGGCACATAACAACAACAAATTTTGGAGGAAATTTAGTTAACATTTATTCAGGTCTGAAGCAGAATTCATCAGAAACATGATTGTTATTGTTGTTGGTAGATGCTGCTGAGGTGACTGCAACCCATAGCAATCCTATGTAAAGCAGCTCTAAACCCTTCCCTGTCCTGAGCCAGTCTCACTGACTCCAACACATCAACCCTCATTGCCCTAGTTACTGTATCACTCGATCTCATCTGGAGTCTTCTTCTCCTGTGCTGTCCCTCCACCTTTTTTCATGATATCCTTCACCAAGGACCATTATTTTTTAAGGTTTTGATAGATAAGTTGGGTAAACAGAAAGGCAATATACAATAAAAGTTTGATGATACACTCTAAATAATTACATTAATCAATTGTAGTTGAAAATCAGTATCATTTGTAAACCTTCACACAAATTTAAAAAACTTTAAAATGAAAATGTAAAAAAAATATTTTTAGGTACTCATTCCCTCTTTTTAAAGTGTTATCACTACAAATCTACCTTTGTAAATGATTTGTTAAACAATCTTCATGGAGGAGTCACTGTAACATGCTAAGAAAAAAGAATGAGAACTTTTCAGTATTATCTAGGACAGTTTACTTTTCCATTACTTTTGAAAGGAAAGCAAGGGGAAAAATATTTAAAAAAAAGATTATTAGAATTAATACTGCAGAAATACTTTTTTCCATTTTGTAAAAATTTAGTATTTATGTAGACAATCATTCACTTTTATACATCATTAATATACACTGTTTTGCCCGTAAGAAATACTTTTAATATCTATATGAAATATAGATAGAGTGACTTTGCTAGATGATTACCAAAGATTTTAAGTAAGACAATGGCTTTTGAAACACAAGGTTACACTGATTACAAGTAATAAATAATACAAAGAACTGTAATTGTAGACTAGATGAAACTCAATCTGTATAGTTGGAGCAATGGAGGGACCTGGAAATCCAGGGGTGCACAGAAGGTGATTTGAAACCTGTCAGAGCTTTAACCTCATCCCTTTGTAGCCTCACTTAGACAATGATGAATTGTGAATGGATCATCTGACTTGTGTTGGCCTTTTCCGAGTCTCAGGCAACTGCATGTGGACAGCACACACCCTGAGTACACTTTGTATGATTCTAGTCTTGCAGCCAGACATTCATTCCTCAGTGTTATCTTAACCTTTAATTATACTCGTTAGCTGTATTTAAAAAATATTTCTCACAGATCCAGTAAATACTACTCACAAAGGTCAATATTGGGTCAAAGATGCCCCGGAAATCTGAATGGATCAGCATTTTAAGAATTTACCACAGATTTAATTTATTTTCATATGATGGAATTTGCAGATAATTAATGTACAGTAATGAAGAGAGATGATACCTATCAAAGTAAATTACAGACCTTGTAAGCCACCTACAAGCTTGTTTCAACCATGATCCCCATGTTCCTGTAAGAAGCACTCAGACAGGCAGTCTTAGGATGTTGCATTACAGAGGGCAGAGAGCGATGCTTGTGACCCAGTTAGGTTAATGTGGGGCTACATCCTCAGCTCACCGTCTGATTAGCAATAAAGCTATCTTTAATTTTAATTTTATAAGACTGCTAATAGTTCATGAAGGAGCCATGGCAGCACAACGGTTAAACACTCAGTAGCTAACTTAAACTCAGTAGCTTGAAACTACCCAGTGGCTGTGAGAGAAAAACCTGGTGATGTATGCTGTGAAGAATACAGCCTAGGAAACGACTCTGCCACGTAAAGTTGCTAGGAGTCAAAATTTACTGGACAACATACAACAACAACAAATATGACTCAACTCTTCCACTTAAGAACTCTTCTCAGCTAAATACGAAGTACAGCATTCGCATGTGCAATCAAAATGATACAGTGCAATAACAGATTATGGTGATCAAAATACATTTAATTTGCTTTCATGTTATAACTTAGACTGGTGCTTTAGTATACAAGGCTAATATTTATATAACAAACAAAAAAATCCCACACCCTTCAAACTTATTGCCATTAAGTCAGAATCGACTCGTAACTGA